TCTCAGTTTTCTTTCCCTCTTACTGTAAGTCTACTTAAACAGGTTAAATTGTATTGACAGGGAGTTTTATTTACAGAGGAAGAATATAATTTGTTGGTCCAGAATGATACCACTATAAATGTGCTATGTGTTTGTTGTGTGTAGGTGTTGATCCCTGAGTTACTGAAGAACCAACTGGAGACGGCCATGCACAAATATCTCGACCACACTGTGCTTGTAGACAAGGAGCGCAAAACAGTATGTATCACTACGGCAACGGTATTTATAGTAGCCTGGTTGCTTGGGATCGTCTTTTGTGTTTAAATATGATTGTTATTCAAACTATTGATTAGGACAACTCAAAAGGCAGTTGTTATATTCTGTTTATCTATAAATGTATATAATAAAGATGTTTCGTTGGTCAGGTAACAATTCCAGAGCTGATGATGTGGTACAAACGTGACTTCAGCAGTGAACAGGAACAGGAACTTAATGCACGAAATGAAGGCATCATCAACATCATTGCAGGTCATATGACTGGTGCTACCCAGGAGGCATTGCAGGACCTCATCAGTCTGGACAGTATCCATGGTTACTCAGAGAATATAGGTCAGTGATAAGAGAAAAGAAAGAAAAAGAGTCACTATCCCAACATGTGTAGCCGTACATAATTTTTATTACTCAGTTTGTATTCTGACATTTTTTCTGTTACCACAGCTATTGTGAAATCTTGCAGCTAACACATTTACTCTATTATTTATGTTCCAATTGTTATTTCATGACCATCTAACTCTACAACAGGTATTGCATATAAAAAGTAGTTTCTTTTGAATAAAAAGATGTTTTATTGTATAAGTTATTAAAATGAAATACTAATATATTAAATTTTTGATTGACAGACATGACTGGTAGAAAGGAGCTGCCATTCCAAACAGGAGTCACATCTTACAAGGCAGATTTCATGGTTACATTTGATTTCACTGTTTTACAAGACCGGGCGCAAAAGTTCAAAGGTCACAGACGCATCACCTCTCTGCCAAAGAACTTGTCACTTTCTGTAGATAGAAGTCGTAGTCTGTCTAATCCTAAGTCACCAGTAATACCTTCCTATCAGCTCACCCCTGTAACGTTGGACTACATTAAGACAGAGTGCCCCCTGGTAGCAACCTTGGTCAGTCTGGTTTGTTCGGATGACCTTGACGACATTGAGGATCATATGGAGATGGATTATTTCACCAAGAGTGAGACTCTGAGAGGAAGAACACAGTCAGAAATGAGTCTGATGGATATCAGGAGCTACCGGTACCAGAAACTAACTGACGAGTACCCTACACTGAAGCGCCACCTGTTGAACTATGTCATACCTATTGCTGGTGCTGAAGACCCCGAGATACTGAAAGGAAGAGACTCGCTACTTAAGTTGATAACAAGCAATTTTTCTGAGAAGGTGAAGGCTTGCATGTTAAATCTGCCTGGAAACTGGCAGTTCCAGACGGTGGTCGTCTCTATACTCAATGATCTTCTGTTGGACAGGAAGTGGTCAGAAATTCTGCTTGTCCTTGACAGTCTACCACCCACACTTGTGCGGGAGACCGGCTCCTTCTGTTCTCTGTATGACTTCTCACTCACTTGTCTTGTCCAGAGGGTGTTTAACAAGACAAAGGTCACCTTGACACCTGATGTGACCTCTGTGACCTTTGTTACCAAACAGGCGGCAGACACAGCAATGAACTACCTTCGCAGATTTCTGTGTCCTGTAACTATGACACGTCTGCTGCTGTACGTATACAAGAAGCTGCCAATGGACCAAAACATGGAATTGTTCCAAATGTGTCGCCACTTTGTGATGGTAGAGCACATGATTATGGTGGTACATCAGAAACTAAGGGAACTCAGCATGTTTAACAGAGTGAGCATTGATTGTATTTATGTTCTGGTCTAGATAGGATAACATTGTGCATGGATATTTACTGCTTAAACATTGTCTAAATATGTTATCAAAGTGATGTCAGAAATAGTACATAAAGAAATCAAATTTGAACCATAATAAAAAGAATGAATAAATAAAAAAAAAATTGTAATCAATGCTATTTTGTAGTTAACGTAATTTTAGTCAGTATGTACATTATGTGCTCTTGTCTTATATGCTGTGCTTGTGTGGTTTAGATCACAGCGTGTGCTAAGAACCTACAGTTCAGACTAGCCATGAAGACCACAGGCTATGTGGATATGGAGGACAAGAAGGGTTACCATACATCTCTAGATAAGTTCACTGACTGGCGTAACCTTCTGAGACCAGAGGTTATCTCCCCTGAAGAAATTCTGGTAGTGCTGTTAAGAGCGGGTGATGATGAAACTGCCAAGACATGGTGTCGTCATGTCCAATTCCCCAATGAGAAATACCTAGTAAGTTGGATTTATAAAAAAAACTTAATTATTTCAAGATAAGTGTAGTACTGTAGGTAAATTAAGTCCACTTATTAATGATAAGATAAAGATCATTTGAAGTATTTCTCCTATTTCTATCCTGACTCAACATCTATCATTTCTACTGAGGATGCTGTCATGATCATGATCAGTAAAATTCTAACAAGACTGAGATAACCCCATTATTTGGTGCCTAAGATTGATATAACAGGGGAGCTACCCAGTATTGTGGCTGACAGACAGTTAAGATATTTTGAGAGAGAGTGCGTCACCTATTTATGTGTTGTAGGATGTAGTGGAGCACCAGGTGATTTCCTTGCTGGAACAGAAGCCCTCACAGCCCTCGGAAAACAACAAGGCATTCCTCGTAAGTACTAAAGGCAGCTGACCCCCAACCCCCACCCCAAAAAAAGAGGTACTCCAACCACACGCAAACAACATCTTACTACAGGCAGTTGTGTACTGTATGTTTGGACAATTTGGTAAGCCTCCCCTCCCTCCCTCCTCCAACAAGATACCAACACCACTCGCACACAACTTCTAACTACAGGCACCTGTGTAATACATGCTTGTACCATCTGGACACACAAGATAACAGCAGACAGCCAAGAACACATGAATGCTTTCAACGAGATAGACACTGAAGACAATGTTAGGTGTTTATAACAAGCAATAACAAGACAGACACTAAAGACAATGTTAGGTGTTTATAACAGGCAATAACAA